ATGTTGGGTATTTTGTTTCACAATGAGAGAAAAGTAACTAAGACAACACATAAGCATGATAATCACTTAAAAAGTGACAAAAGAACAATTAGTTCTAAATTTGTCTAACCTATATTATCTTCCTTTAAGACTGTGGGCACCATGATAAGATGAATGGAAAAAGTAAAGGTATTTATATGCAATGGAGTACTACTCTGCCATAAATAAGGACACAGGAGTCATTTGTAGGAAAATGGTGCACGCTGAGACCACTTTAAATGAAATAAATCAGACACACAGTTTACATAGCACATAGTTTATGTTGAATGAAAAACCCGAAGTATTTTTAAAGAGAGCAAAGTAAAAAATAGATAATAGGAAATAGGTCTTTGACATGTGGGAAGGAGACCAAGAAATGGAGGGAAGGGAGAAAAAGAGACAATAGGAAAGAGATTATATATATATATATATATATATATATATATATATATATATATATTTTTTTTTTTTTTGGTCTTTTTCGTTTTTATCGGTACCAGGGATTGAACTCACGACTGCCTGCTTGCAAGGCAGGCGCTTACGTCGCTAAACTAAACTCCCAGTCCCCGAGCTAAAATATATTAAGCTCATGTACCAACTCCCCAGAATGAAGGTAATTATTATGTACTACAAACATGTACTGATAAAAGAAATAATTTTCCATAACTTCAGGGACATTTAATTGCTGGCTTCTGCAATGCCCAGTTTCATAGTCCTTGTAGCAATGTCTACACACTCTCCTGTCATTATCCTCAACCTGTGGTCACCTTAGATTCCAGGAAAAGCACAGCCTCCAGGAAAAGCAAAGCCTTGAAGAACACCCCAGGTGAAGTCACCTTCCTACATGGGTAATTTTACCCCAGGATGGGACAGCAGCCGCTCTCTGTAATGGACACAGAATTGCCCCCTCAAGCAAAGATGGTTCTGTCAGAACCCTGAGGAACCAGTCAGAAGACAGCGATCAAGCCAGTTCTGACCCGGATTATCTATGCTACTCGTTATGCAAATCCCCAGCCTTTGCCTTCGCTCCTCTTCTACAAAACCGCAAGGTTTCTGTGAGCCCCTTGAATTCCTTCCTCTATTTGTGCTCCTGAGATGGCTATGCTGATTAAAACTCCTTCCCTACCTTTCACTGCTGTTTGTCTTTTCTTTTCTTTTCTTTTTTTATTTTTACAGTGTCATTATGTAGTCTAGATTGGCCTGGAGTTTATGATCCTGCTGCCTCAGCCTCCCAAGTGAGAGAGATTACAGGGTTGCACCACCGTGTCCAGCTGCTTGTCTCCTTGACTGGTATTATGGGATGGGTGGCTGAGTTTATTTTGTTGAGACCCCCAGAGCTAAAGCTTCCCCCTCAAACTGGTAATACTGTTACCATTCTGTTTGTTCCTATAATTTAGCCCTGTGTTTTTAAGTCACTGAACTTGAGCCTGTGTTTCAAAATTTTTATACTAGGCCTTTTACTCTAGGCTCTTCCTGGTGTTAAGATCCAGCCTTGCTTCTGAGCTCCTGGCTCTAACTGCTGTCTGGCTAGGGTGATCCCACCAGTGTAGGCGCCCCCCAAACACTGACTCTGCTCCCCTCCCCTCCAGCTTTCCACGCCACGAGTCACTGAGCCTCTTTGTGGTGTGGGCAATAAACGATTACTGGGAAAGGAAATTTAGTTCAGTCACTGAGAGAGAGGCCCAGAGGGACTGTCTCAACTGAGAGCACCCAGCAATAGAGAGACTCCCAGGAGGAGCACAAAGCTGAGAACACTCCAGCTTTTACTCAGGATATCAGTGTGAGAGGGAAAGAAAAGAGGAAAAGCAGTCTGGGCAAGAAGCTGTCTCAAGGCTGGGCAGTTTTCTTGGGAGAAGGAGAAAGACAATGAGCAGACACAAGATGTCTTACTAAACTTGTGTAACCACTCACTCCTCACAGAGACTGTTGTTTACTTTTGCCCTGCAGTTTAATCAGTCACCGCTGCATGCATCTGTCCTCTGATACTCTAATTTTCACAGGGTTTATCTCTATTTCCTCAGGTCCCTATCCTAGCTGCTTTCTGTTCTCCTGTCTCCTGGTCTCAGAACTACATAACGATAAAATTCTTTGTGGGGAGTTGGTACATACATAAAACATAATAGTCCTGTCTTCATCTCCTTTCCTTCCTGTCTTTTCCCCTTCCTGACAGCTCTTGGTCCCCTTTCTATATGCAAAAGACCCATTTGGCTATTATCTTTTATTTGCTCTTTATATTTTGAATTTCTCATATAAGATATGCATGGAATATTTAAGCCTGCATGTCTGATTCACTTCACTTAATATTGTGGTCTCAAGGCACATCCATGTTCCTACAAGTGACTATCACTCCTTCTAGTAGAATAGGTCTCCATTGTGAATACCACATTTTCATTATTCATTCATCTGTTGATACACATAGGCTGCTTCCAAGAATTAGCTATTTTGGATTCTGTTGCTATAAATATGAGTAACTATGGATCACTATAATATAATGTATTTAACTTTTTCTGGAAGATACCTAAGAGAATAAGCTGGATTAAATAGAATTTCTATTTTTAGTTTCTTGAGGACTTTCCATACTGATTTTCATAATGATTGTACCTGTTTACATTTCCACTGACAATGTAGAAGTGTTCCTTCTTCCCCAAGTTCCCGCCAACATCTGTTATTACTCAATTTCTTTATGATAGCAGTTCTTCCTAGAAGAATGCAAAATGGGCTCTCAGTGCTGTTTTAATTTGCATCTCTCTAGTGGCCAGAGATGTGGAACTTTTTTTTTTGTCTTTTTCCTTTTTATCGGTACCGGGGATCGAACTCACGACTGCCTGCTTGCAAGGCAGGCGCTTACGCTGCTGAGCTAAATCCCCAGCCCCTACATTTTTTAATGTATTTATTTCTACGTATTTGTCTGAGAAATGTCTGTTAATTTACATTGTCTTTTTTAAATTAGTTCTTTGTTTTTTGAGACAGGATCTCACTATGTAGTTCAGGCTGAATTTGAACTCATTTTGTAGCCCAGGTTGGCTTCAAACTCATTGCAATGTTCCTTCCTCAGCCTCCCAAGTGTTGGGATTACAGGCACACACCACCACACCTCACCCGCATTGCCTAATTTTTTTTACTGTGTCTTTTATTTTGGGGGTGTCTGTTTTTTATGATTTCTTTATATATTTTAAATCTTAGTTCTCTGAGGTATAGCGGGAAAATTTTTTCCCCATTTTGTAAGTTGTCTCTTCACTCTGTTGGTTGTTTCCTTTGCTACACAGAAGCTTTTTAATTTCTGTTATCCCATTTGTTGATTCTTGATATTATTTCTTATGCAATTGGGGTTTTGTTCAGAAAGTCCTTACCTATGTCTTAGGTCTTCAAGAGTTTTGCCTATTTTATATTACAGCAGATAGTTTTTGACCTAACATTTAGACCTGTGATCCATTTGGCTTTTAGTTTAGTACATGGTGAGATGTATGGGTCTGGAGTCAATCTTTTGTAAGTGAATATGCAGTTTTCTCAGCACCATTTACAGTATTAAAGAAATTTCCTTCAATGTATGTTTTTTGGCCCCTTTGTCAAAGATCACCTAGCTGAATGTCCCTAGGGTTGTACTGCTATTCTGTTGCATTGATCCACATGTCTGTTTTTCTACCAGTTCCTTTCTGTTTTTTTTTTTTTTTATCACTGTAGCTTTACAGTATATCTTGATATCTGGGATTGAGATGCTTCCTGTTTTGCTCTTCCCAGTACTGCCTTCTTTCCCAATTAACCTTTACCTAATCTTTTCTCCTAAATGTAAAATTTTTTGATTCCTACTCATAGATATCCCAGAACTCTTCGCCAAATCACTTAATCAAGGTCCAGATCCTATCATGTTTTCCTAATACCCCATTACCAAGACTTTCCATGGTTCCCTATGGCATATATTCCCTCGTTGCAATGAATAGTAAACCACATAATCAAGTAGTGGTATGTTCTTGGTCCTAAGGTTTTGTTCTTTTTTTGGTATCAGGAATCAAACTCCGGACCTTGCACTTGCCAGGCACACGCTATGCCAATGAGCTATATCCCCAGCCAGGTCTTAAATCTTTGACATGACTAAAAAAAAAAAAAAAAAATGAACCAATGCTAACATGAATTTTATTTTTTAATAAGAAATTTGAACACTGACTGGATATTTGATACTAAGCAATTAATTTTCTCTTTTGAGGGTACCTGGAATCAAACTTGGGACCTCACGCTTGCCAGGCAGGCACTGTGCCACTGAGCTAAATTCCCAGCCCCAATTAATTTTAAACGATTGGTCATTTGTAATTACTTTTACATATGTATTTAATTAGAGTAAGTGTTCTGATATTTGAGACTTGCAAAGTACTACTGTTAATTTTAAGGCTGGTTGATAAGAAGGTAATTATTCTATTCCTGAGTATGTCTGAAACTTGGCACAAATTTTTGTTTTGTTTTTTGCACTGGGAATTGAACTTAGGATCTCACGCTTGCAACCAGGTGCTATGCCACTGAGTTGTATCGCCGACCCCTTTACACAAGTTTTTAAAAAATTATTTTCAATATTCTTTTAGGAGACAGCCATAATCTAGAAAAAGCCATGAAACATTTTGGGCATCTCCTGGGTCATTCCCTTCCATCACATGTGAATTAAGGTGTTAAGTGGAAAGTACATACACCTGCTTCAGACTGCTAAATGTCTGAATTAATAAAACTAGATGCAGAGTCCAAATCAGCTGGACGTAAGTCTGCTCTGATATCTCATCAGCTTCTTTGCTCCCTTTCCACCTTTCTCTCTTCAAACCATCCAGCCTCGGAATATTCGCAACATGGAGGTGGGTCAAAACAGAAAAACAGGTCAGCGCTCCCTCCTAGACGTTGCGCAGGCGCGGAGCCGCGCAGTCGCATTCCTGCCTCCCTCCCGACCTTGGCCGATCGCGCCTGCGCAGTGGGTAGCAACTCGCGCCTAGGCTTTGGGCTGGCTGCAGTCTCAGTGTGAAGGCGGCCGAGGCGGCTGTCTGAGTTAAGATGAGGCTTCTGCTGCTGTTTCTGCTGGCGGCGTCGGCAGTGGTCCGGAGCGAGGCCTCGGCCAATCTGGGCGGTGTGCCCAGCAAGAGACTGAAGATGCAGTACGCCACAGGGCCGCTGCTTAAGTTCCAGATTTGGTGAGTCTGTGCGCCCGACCCGGCAGCCTTGCCCCACTCGGCCTTTTCTGGTGGGCGTCGCTACGCAAGGCCCGGGCTTTGCGGCCTAGCTGGCTGCACCTTTCTTGGCTGGGAAGAACGGTGCCAGTGCCTTCCGCAGTCGCTCTTCCCTGGGACGCTGCTGCAAGATGCTCGACTCGCTCTCGGTTCCCCCACACACAACCACTCCCTTTTTGCGTCTCAGAATGATGGAACTCGGCAGGAGGGAAGGCGGGAGAGGGTAAACGCTGGGAGGCGAGGACGCGGGGACGTTTCTCTCTGCGGAGGACTGCGCGTCGACGCGCCATGCTGCCCCGGCGGCCTGCGGAGATGGGGAGAGGAACCCTAGGGTTCGCCACCCGGTTAACTTTCCTGCAGTCACGCCAGGCGATCTCGCCGCCGGGCTGGACGAAGGTCAATTCGGGCCGTTAGAGAGGACCCGGGAGGACAGACGCCTTTTTTTCCCACGCCTGCCGGGTGACTGTTGGTGAGGGAGCAGGGGTCTTCTGACAGCCGGCAGGCGTGCAGAGCAGATCAGGGGAGCAGGTTCCAGGGTTCCTATTTCCTGAGTGTCCGAAAGGAGCCCGTCGGTCTTCAAAACTTTGACGGCTCACTTCCACGCTGGTCTTCTCCGGTCCCGACTCCCGGAAGTGGCCTGCTCCGGCCTGGCTTTCAGCCTTTCAGAAGTCTTGTCCATTCATAGAAAGAGGAAAAGAACCCTGCAGTTTTTGGCGTTAGTCTGTAATTCATTTTATTGTTACTTAGTAGCAATAAGTGTTATAAGCAGGACAGTGATTTTATGAGTGGAATTGGGGAAGGCTAGGATTTGAAAAGCTCAGAATTTTTTTTTTTTGTCTTTTTCCTTTTTATCGGTACCTGGAATCGAACTTACGACTGCCTGCTTTACAAGGCAGGCACTTAAGCCGCTGAGCTAAATCCCCAGCCCCAAGCTCAGAATTTTTAAAAAATCATATAATTGTAAGAATAAGACACTACATTTCGAAAGATCTCACCTGAGAGCTGAGGTTAAAGGAGTTTGCTACTACACTAGCCTCCACAAATCATTTAAAATCAGCTCTTTAAAAAGTTCATGTGGGCTGGGGATTTAGCTCAGCAGCGTAAGCACCTACCTGGCAGTCAAGAGGTCGTGAGTTCGATCCCAGGTATTGAAAAACGAAAAATGTATTAATGTATTAATATGTCTACAAAAGTCTGGATTTCTACCTTATCTTTGCTTAATACTGCAAATGGAAGCGTAGTGTGACAGTTCTCTTCATAAGTGTTTGGGATTAAACGCAGAGCCTTGTACTAAGCATTCATTCCTAATCTATTTCTTCAGCTACTCCTTGACTTGTATTACAGAGTGATAGTCATTTTACCAGCATATAAAATTGAGGGTTGGATAGATACTTTGGGTTTAAATAGTATAGTTTAAAAAGAATACAGTTTTCAAGTTGATTTTTCTGTCAGGTCTCTTGCTTTTCGAAAATACTCTGTCTTACAATTACTGTCACATTACCAGATGTGTTTTCCATTGACGATATTCTTAACAAGGGTTTGTTTCAAGCAGTGTAAACAAATGTAGGGAGAGGGACATTGGGTCCTTTCTTCATATTAAGCTTTTTAAAAAAGTAAAAAGCATTTGAGTGAACTTTTGAAACTTTGGTTGTTTTGGCTTTTAAGTGCAAGCTTGTTTCAAACGTCTGATATGAGTTTCTTTTGCAGTTACACTGAGCATGTTACAAAAGTACTTCATTTTAAAATACATACATAAAGCCGGATGTGTTGGTGCACTCTTTGTAATCCCAGCACTCGAGAGACTGAGGCAGGAGCATCCTTGCAAGTTTGGCTCCAGCCTGGGCTACTGAGTGACCTAAGGCCTGCCTGAGCTCCATAGGGAGACCGTCTCAAAAAGACCACCCCCAAATATGCGCGCGGGCACACACACACACACACACACACACACACACACACACACACACACAGAGTAACTTACTATGTTCCACCACGCACAGATAAAAGTCAGTTTGCTTGTTTTTTTTTTTCTAGAGATTAATCTGTTTATAGTAAAGTATTTTGGTAGAATTTCTTGAATATCCTAGAGATTAATCTGTTTATAGTAAAATGAGTATTTTGGTAGAATTTCTTGAATATCCATGTGCAAGTGAGAGAAAAGAGAAGAAGCTAATTCAATTGAAGATAAACCCAAAGTTGTAAAATTCATAAGTTTTTCATTAACACTTAATTTGAAAGATGGCTATTTTAAACTTTCTTTTCAATTAATTTTGGTTCCTTTATACTTTTTCTTAAATAACTGTAGTGGTAATTTTTAACAGTTTTATAATTGCTAGGAGAACAAAATAGCACCATAATGCACAAAGGAATTAAATCCTAAAGAAAGGAAACCTTATTACAAAGTTAGCAATTCTAGGTTTTTTTTTTTTTTAAAGAGTGCCGGCTGTGTGCCAGGAGGTAAAGATTTCATTGTAAACAAGATAAATATCACAGTTCATGAAGCCTACAAAAATTGTATCTTTAGTCTTTGGCTGTAATATCAACTAATTTTATCGAATAGAATGTGATAGGTTTGATGACATTGGTTTAACATTTGGAAAGAAATTACACTATTTGGACGTTTTAAACAATAAACATTCAAAGGAAATTACCGGGTTACTTTTTTTGCTTTGATTTGTGTGAGTAAATGTATTAAGGTCACCACTTGTAGGTATGATGCTTGGCGTGTATGCTTTATTTTCTTTGTGATTTAATATGTTATCTACAGTTGCTGTAATTTAGAGATTACTAACTCTTTACAGTTAATAGTTGAACATTTGATAGTTGAATTACTACTAAGGGTGGTAGATTAAATGAAGTTAAAGTTTCAAAACTTAAGCAGACCATGGCAGAATTTTCAAATCTTTGTTAACTTAATCAACTGTTGTAATTTTCAGACAGCCGACTTCAAACTATAATTTTAAACATTTTTTTTATCTTTTTTCAAATTCATTTTATTTAAGGATAGAAAGAAAAAGAAGAAAAAACTACAAAATTTCAAAACACATCAAGCAAGGGGCAACAATGGTACTTACATTGCTCATTGTCATCCCCAAATAGCCTAAGACATCTGTATTCAGCTACATGAACAATTCCAGCACAAATCTTTCTCTTCAGCAAACTCAAAGCAATCAGCAGTATAACTGTCTTAACTGTTTTTTTAATATACATGTATGTACACATATACATATATTTTTTCATTCACTTGTCACACCAAAACAATGTGATGTTTACATATGTGTCTTATTTATTTTACTAATAAGTATGTTTGTAAGTTGCATCCATTTACCGATAAAAGCGTCCAGTTTATCCTTATGACTGAGTTAGTACTCCACTCTATAAAAAATACCACATCTTTTTTTTATCCATTCCTCAATCAGGTTGTTTCCAAGATCTGGCTATTACAAACTGTGCTGTTATAAACATGAGTGTACATATATCACTGTTGTACAATGTTTTTAATTCTTTTGGGATGATACCAAGAAAGGGAATGGCTAGCTGGGTTGAATGGAACCTCCAATCCTGGTTTTGGTTTTTTAGTTTTTTGGTACTGAGGATCAAACTCATGACCTTGTGCTCGCAAGGCAGGCGCTTATGCCTCTTAGCTAAATCCCCAGCCCAATCCTAGTTTTTGGAGGAATCTTCACACTAATTTCAAAGTAGTTGCATCAGTGTGCATTCCTACCAACAGTGGAAAAGGGTTCCTTTTTCTCCCACAGCTCCTCCAGCGTTTGTTACTGCTGGATTTCTTGATAAGAGCCATTCTTACTGGGGTGAGGTGGAATCTTAGTTTTGTTTTAATTTGCATCTCATGAATGACTAATAATGTTAAGCATTTTTTCACGTATTTATTTGCTGTTTGTATTTCTTCATCTGAGAAGTGTGTATTCATCTCAGATGCCCATTTTTGGATTGAGTCTTTTTTTTTTTGGTCTTTTTCCTTTTTATTGGTACCGGGGATCGAACTCACGACTGCCTGCTTTCGAGGCAGGTGCTTATGCCGCTGAGCTAAATCTCCAGCCCCTGGATTGAGTCTTTAAATCTGGAAGGACTGAATTTTTTTTGAGATCTTTATTTGCTCTCCATAGTAATCCTTTTTCTGAGGACCAGTTGGAAATATTTTCTCCCCCGTTATGGATTGTCTCTTCACTAAGTTGATGGTTTCTCTCACTGCGCAAATTTTTCAGTAGGGTAAGATCCCAGTTGTTGATTCTTTGTGATAGTTCCTGGATTTTGTTCCCAAAGTCTTTGCCTACACCAGTGTCCTCAAGAGTTTTACCTGCTCTCTCTTGCAGCAGATTCAATGTTTCTGTTTTAATGTTGTTAAGATCTTTGATCCATTCTGATTTTGGCTTAGTACATAGTGGAAGATATGGGTCCAGTTTTAATCTTTGGCATGTGTGAAGCCAGTTTTTCCAGCACCATTTATTTCAAAGAGGCTATCTTTCTTCCAGTGGATGTGTTTGGCACCTTTGTCAAAGATAAAGTGATCTAGTGTGTCTGGAGTTGTTTCTGCATCTTCTAATCTATTCCACTGGTCTTCAGGTCTGTTTTTTTTTTTTTTTTTTTTGCCAGTACCACACTTTTTATCTCAGTAGCTTTATAGTATAATTTCAAATCAGGGATTGTGATGCCCCCTACCTTGTCTTTCTTGTCCAACATTGCCTTTGGTATTCTAGAGCTCTTCTGGTTTCAGATAAATTTTAGGATTGTTTTCTCTAATTCTGTGAGACATGCTATTGAAATTTTGATTGGGATTTCATTGACTGTATAATGATTTTTGAAGTATGGCCATTTTCACTATATTACTTTTTCCTACCCAAGTGCACAGGGTACCTCTCCATTTTCTAATATCCTCTTCAATCTCCTTTTCTAGAGTGCTATAGTTGTCAATGTAGAGGTGTTTTACAACCTTTGTTAGATTGATT